AAAGTTGTTTGTACAATTGTTGTTGAAAATTTTAATTGATTTATTAAAAAAATTAAAAATTAAAATAGGTGAATGTGATATTGCCAAATGTACGTTTTCGGTCAATCAAACGGACCCTTTCGTTTGATTGTAAAAATAAAATTAAAAAGGAATTTTAGGGAATTGAATTGCTTGAAAATTATTTTTTTTGAGAATTGTAAATTATTGCGTTTGATTGGGATAATTTTTCAAGTGGAAAATATGGAAATAAAAGTGTTTTTGGTGTTTGTTTGATTTTGTTTTATATGAAAATTGTCAATTAAAGGGATATATTTTATTGGTATTAGGGATGAAATTTGTTTCCATTGCCAACAACAAAAAATTTCAAGAAAATCATCTATTTGTTGATATTCGTTTGGTTTTGTTTTACATAAAAATTGCCAATCAAAGGAAAATATTTTTTTTACATATATTCTTAGAATTTGTTTTCATTGCAAAAAAAAAAATATATATTGTCAATACAGATTACTTTATAAATAAATAAGTTTTAACAATTATTCTTTTTATTGTAAATATCAAATCTATATTAATTTATTTATTTTGATCATGGTATCTATTTTATAGTTAACTTTTTTTTTTTATAAATATGAATTAGTAATAAATGAAATGGTATGTATTACTAAAAAAAATCAATTACTTTTAAATTTAGAAAAATACGTAGTATCTCAAACTATTAAAATAAGTAATTTTTCTTTTAGATCTAATCAATACTAATTATCTATAATAAAATTTACTTAATAATTATAAGTAAATTTTAGTCAAACATGAATTAAATAAAATATCTATTTTGACAATAAAATATTCATATTTCATGAACGTCATGAAAAGAGTAATTAATAATTGTAGTATTTTTAATACAATTTGAATAATTGACATTGGTCTTGAGTTGAGATTTAAACTAGAGTTGGGCTAATACTAATATTTAGGTCAAAATCCTACAATTTCATCTTAGATATTTATATGGGAGAGCTAGGCTAATGCTAATTTAAGCCAAAATTCTTCAATTTTATCTTAAAATACTTATAGGGGCTAGGGGATAGCCCAGCGCTGTCCCCCACTATCTCCACCACTGGATATTTCATTATCATGATAATAAATAACATTATTCATAGAATTATACAATTAGATATTGCCCTTATTTTGTAATCGAAAAGTCATGAATTCCATAATATATGTGATTAAAACTGAAAATTAATTGTTAATTTAAATTTGAATTTTAATCCTCACCAAACTACGACTTTGTTATAAGCCCCCGTTTGGCCCCTATTTTTGGTAATGAGAATGAGAGGAATAGTGTTTTGTTGAAAAAATGAGTGGTTGAAAAAGAAGGAAAAAATTTCGATTTACGTGTAATATTATTTTATAAAAAATTGTGTAGTTGAAAATAGGAGAAAGAAAGAGAATGTAATTTAATGAGGATCAAACAGGGCTAAAGATGTAGCCCATGAGACATTAATCATGCGATTCCACAAATCAGGTCTTGGATTTACCAGGTTAATTGTCCCGAGCGTTGAAAGCACATGCTCTTCCATTTGCTTTAAAGTTTAAAATTCCAAATCGTAGTTAGTGAGATATTATCGTTGATTAGTATTATATTCAAATTTAAGTTCGTATGGTAAGAGGTATTTGCATACCAATGAGTTCATTTTTCTCGTTGTTATTATCTTGCACTTAATATGTGCGAGAACAAGAGCATATTCAAGTTACATATTCGCTTGCAGTTGAACCTTTATTTCTTTTTCTTTTTTTCAACGAAGATAGAATAATACATGAAGGTTTCAACTATGGTGTTTCCATGGGAAGTTGGTACTACAACTCAACTATTCCTCCAGACGTGAAAATGATGTAAATATGTAAATTATGGACATAATTGATTAATACACCCAAATTTCAACTCCCCATCACTTCGAAACATGTCTCCGACTTTCTGTTTCTAGCACCTTCGGTCGGCACAATGACTGAGCCCCTATTTGGTGTCCATTATTTCAAAAAACAAATAAAATTTTAAAGAGTATTTTTAAGAGAATGCGTGATTAAAAAGTAGAAAAATTTAGATTTATATGTAAAATATTTTATTACTGGTTGAAAATAATCCGAAATGATTGAAAGTGGGCACCACATTTGGGCTGAATTGCTTCAATAAAACTTGCACAAAGTTGAGTTACAAAAAATTGGATCACAAAGTGTATTGACAAAATCCAGATAATTGATTTGAAATGATTTAAAAATCTGTTTTTGAAATGATTGTTATGGATGTTATTTTGTCAACAAACTTTATAATCCATCTTCGTAAGTGAAGCATAGCTGGAATTGCTTGGACTGCCACCTCTTCTGCTATTATGATAATGATATCAGATCAGCTGCTCTTCGCAGTAGGAGTTTGGCTTTCCCTTGCTCTCTTGTCCAATCCACATTATGCATTCTTGCTCCTTTCATCCATCTTCTCCTTCTTGTATTGACTAACTGTCTGCAAAATCCATAGCAATTGCAGAACAAATTCCAAAGTTCAATAACTAATCAAGAAGTAAAACACAAGCATTCAAAATCTTCAAATTTACTGGAAAAGTCTCAGACATCCAAGGAAGGATAAAAGCAGCACTAGCTCTCAAGCCTGGCGAAGGCGAAAGCTCTTAGGCGGCCACTGCGAATGTTTTGAGAAACAAGCCTTTGGATTTGTCATCATGGACATCAAATTAAATGACAATTATACTTGTATATAGGAAAATAAATTGTTCCATTCCTGTATGGTCAGCAAATCAGGTAAATGAAAAATGCTGACAAAGTGACGGATGGATGAAAATTTTGAATTTCAGGGACTTATCATCCCGGAAGCAATCCAATTCTCATGCTCAAGGGGTAGACTTCAAAGTCCCTATATTCTAAAAGAAGCAAAAATGCACATGTTTCGATCCAAGATCACATTTTATGCACAACACTGCAATTAAATTCAGAAAAAAAAATCAACTAAAGAACAGAATCAATTATCAAAGCAATACATACATATACAGTCAGCATATTCCAATACACAGGGAACAGCATCAAATTAATGGAGGTGTCTCAGACATCCAGGGAAGGATTGAAGCAGCATAAACTCTCAAGCCCGGCGAAGGCGAAAGTTCTTAGGCGGCCACTGCGAATGTTTTTGAGAAACAAGCCTTAAAATTAATCATCATAGACACAAGGTTAATCACATCCATAAAACCAATTGAATTCTTTTCAAACAAAATCAGAAAATAAAATTTTAAAAAACCACGCAATTTTTGCTACGGTAGTAAGCACAAGACCAAACAACAGATAGCACAAACGTAATATTAGACAATGAAAAAGAAGATTTATAAAACCGTTCGAGAGAGGTGAATGATCACGGAGAGGCAGTTATAAAGGCCGAAGATGAAGTTTAGGGTTTGGAGATGTACGAGATTCTGCAGCGCAGAACTGGGGCATGGACTGGGCCGAAGTTATGGACACGGGCATATCCGTGGCCCAAGAAATCATACACCATGTTTGGCAAAGCTTAAAATGCTTTACTTCTGAGTTAATTATAGATTAATAATTTCTATTAACCAGAGAAGCGAAACATTTCCTTTCTTGCGCCTTGAGTTAAAGGGCCTCTGATTTCATGCGTTGTAAGAGTTGCCAAAATGAAAATTCAAGAAAGCATAAAAATTAGTTCTTTGATTCCAAAACTGTCTAAATTTCTGCCTGAACGGAACTGGGGTTCTGCTTCTGGGCTAAAAATATCTGCAGCCGTTGGTGTACTGGGTGCTGCTAGTATAATCTTGGCTGTAAAAGATAAATTTTTGAACTTTAACAACCTGCTATTGTTATCAGATAGTGATTCTGAAAAGTATTGGGCAGTCCCTGGATTGCAAAATTTTGGAAATAATTGCTTCTTGAATGTTATTTTGCAGGTGAATTCAGCTCTCTCTCTCTCGAATTAAATTGTTTTCGCTGGAGTCGTATTGTGGTGGTGTTAGAAATTTATTTCTACAGTTTCTTTTCTGCTGTCCCACATGAATATGATGCCATTATCTTAGTTTTCTATATTTGTTTATAATTGATTTATATTTGGGTTTAGGCTTTGGCAAGCTGCTCGAGCTTTCGGAAATATCTTGAAAAAACTGTGGAGGAATTCAAGTTTTCATCAGATAGAGTTGAAAGCACGCCACTTGTTAATGCCCTGTCTTCTCTAATGGAAGGTCTGTGCGAAAATTGTTTTCACGTATTGAAAATTTGAAATTGAATTGAGGAGTTTGCTCATTTGGAGATAAGTGTCTCCATTTCTCAATTCATAATGCGATTGTGGTATATTATCAAATTCAAGCTCTGCATCTTATTTTGAGTAATATTAACTTATTAATTTTGAACTTGTTGATGTTTATAATCTCTTGTGGTTCAGTTGCATTCTTATCGGCGCATAGCTGCAAATTGTTTTTCTAGATGTGGGGATTTCGTGGCTACTCTAGAGTTTAGAAGTGTGATTATTAGTCAGGAATGTGTCTGTTTTGCAGTTATGGTTCGTCTTTAAAATGCCATATGATGTTTTCCATGTTGGATGTTTTGAAAGGCTTTTTTGGCATCTTGGAGAGGTTAATGTAAGGATCTTGCATGATACTTTAATCTTTGTTGTCCAGGCATGGTGATAGGTTGGGTTATACCACAAGCTTAAATGTTCAGAGAATATTAGTAGTTTTAGAGTTTCAAAATATAGGATTATCCTAATTTATTGCATTGTACTGCTGTTTCTATTATCTCGCAACTGTGTCCGTATCAAGTATCGTGCACTGGTTTCTACTTTTGAAAGGCTAACGAAATCATTAATAACATTTTATTTTATATTCATGGTGTTTCCCATCAACTTTTTCTGAAGACAAAAAAGATAGATTTCAGAAAGTCTATTCTCTTCCTGACATTACCTCATGTTACAAGCTTTAGTTGTATATTCTCGTCACAGTAGTGATTGTTGTGAAAATAGTTATTGTATTTACTGTATGGATAATGTTCTCAAAGCTAGATGAAAGATCGTTTGATCCCAATCCTTCTCCCCTTCCCCCTGCCACCTAAACCAAGGTTTCGATTCATTGGAAGTCAAATAATTTCAATTCACATTTTGTACCTTGTCCAATCCAGTACTGAGGTTAGAGCGTTCCAAGACGTTTTAACTGAATCAACAAAATTCAAGGTGACGTTTATGTAAAATCAAGGCACACTTGCATGCAAAATTTGTAGGTTGTGGCGATCTTTCACTCTGCCATTAGTTTTGGCCCACAATTCATGCTCCATCTTGTCACTGTACTTGAAGACATTCTCAACAAACAAATCTGTATTTACTTGGCAGCATGACTTCCATTTTTCTTTTATTCCGCTTTGGTTTTGAAATGGGAAGAGCGAAAATCCTCAAAGATGAATCATGAATCTTCCATTTACTTTTCTATATGCTCATTTCCTTTCTTGCTTTTACTTCATTATTGATTAATAAGAATGACACAGTAATAAAGCCTGGAAAGGTTCCAATGTCTTTTATGCCTTTTGTCTTCTACTTTACATTAAGCTAAATATAACTATCTATCTGTACCTATATATAGAATTGTTCCTAAAATAAGGTATTTTCATTTTTGGATAAACTATTCAGCTTAAAAGTCATGTAAAGCATAAATTCTGAATTCCAGTGTGGAGGAACTCGTGTCTAACATAACTGGATCAGCTGGCCTATTGTTTATTATGGCTAGCTTCTCAATTATATTTGCCTGCTCAGAATGTCAATATTCTCCATGTATTTACACTTGATTAATTCTTTATACAAGCACAATTTTATACCACTGTGGTGGTGCATCACCAATCAATATCCTCCATATGGTGCAATAAACTAGGTATAAACTGATAGTGTTATGAGTATTTAATGTAATATATTATTTGTTTAAGACTACGTTAGAATGCTTTTTATTGATATTCCATTCTCACTCTCCTACCTCTAACAATTCTTTTGTGTTCAAGATGTATGAAAATGTGTAGCCCTAATCTATATCAGGACTTTTTTTCATTCTTTTGTGCACAAGAATTTATCTTTAAATGTTTCTTAATTGAGGCACAAGAATTTGAAAGATAGATATTAGTATTTCCATTATAATAATGACAAGAGAACTAAATAAGGAACTCAAATAATATCAAATCAAATCTTTTATAACTAGAAATAAGGAAAGTCTTTGACTTCCTCTCCAAGCATAAAGAGATTCGTGTCAAATTCATGTCAAGCAGTACAAGTGTTCATATGGAAAGTTATACAGTCAAAATCAAAATCTACACCAATATGATATATTTCGTGAGCTTGATCGGTTCTAACAAATGTACGAACACTCAGACTACAACGTGAATGCATTGAGTTAAATACTGCAGCGCGCTAAATTTCTCCAAATTACTCACTAACAAAAATTCGAATTTGTTTAATTAATAAAGCCAAAATAAAAAAATAAAAAAAATGTTCAAAAACATATTTTGCCTACAAAACTAATGCTTATTGTGTATTACCCAATGATTCTGTTATGGGATGCTTGGTATCAAACTAATGCTTATCGTCCTGATGTATTACCCAATGATTCTGTTATTGGATGCTTTGTATCAAACTAATGCTTATCGTCCTGATGTATTACCCAATGATTCTGTTAGATCTTGGTTTTAGGCGTTGCCAGTGATTGCACCCAAAATGGTGTTATTTCTGGAAAACGATGCCCACCTGGTCTTATTTATCTCTCCATCCTACATGTATTACTCTGATGCGAGTATTTCTAACACTGGACATATTAAGCTTTTGTTTCCTGGTTGAGTTCAGTTATAAGCTTGGTAAGTTGCATTTAACATTCATGGCCAGCATGACCGATAGTAAACATGATCTTGCAGAATTAGGTACTGTCCGACATGGAAGAGCTGTGCTCAGTCCAAGAAAACTTATGCTAGCAATGGATAATTACTTTCCAAGTTTCAATCTAACTAGCCAGCAGGTACTTTTGTGATAAGCATTTGAACTTCTTAATCGACGAGGAAATGTTTTAACTTGAATTGGTCTGGATGTAGGACGCCGAGGAAGCATTTTCTCATCTTTTGTCTTCATTAAGAGAAGAACTATCAGAGCAATATGTCCCTGATCGCAGCTATTTGGCTGATTTGACTTCCCCTCATCATAGGATTCGAATAGTAAACAGCAGCAATGGGTGGAGTGAATGGCAAAGGTGGTTGCACAGTTTCCTTGGGCCCTTTGATGGGATAGTTGGCAGCATTTTAGTTTGCCAAAGCTGTTCGATTCAGGTTGAATGGTACCAGTAAGAATATTGATATTATGATATTATTTATTTGAATTGTCAATGCCCATACTTAAGTTAGGTAATTAAAGTAAATGCGAAGTGACTTGAGTGTATAGGTAGCAGTTGTATCATAATTTTTTGTTATAATTTTGTATATAAATGGTATACATTAGCCAACTTGTCAATTTTGTTGACTGTTCTACAATGATTATCCTCATAATATTGTAAGCTTGACCAGTTGACCTTGTAGTGGAAGTAGCAAAATGAAGGGCATTCTTTCAATCATTCAGCCTTTTCTCTTTGAGTGAGTTATTTATTTTTATTTTTTTTTGACCTTTCTCTATGCAGATATCTCTAGATTTTCAACTATTCCACAGTTTGCACCTTTCACCCCCGATCAGCCATAATGCTACAATAGTACGGTTTACAATTGTGATACAAATGCTTTCCATACCTTTATTTTCAATTCCTTCCTTGTGGTGATGTTTTTCTGGTATATACATTTTAGATGGAAGGATGCTCCCTGGAGGATTGCCTCAATCATTTTTTAGTTGCTGAACATCTTGAGAATTATTGCTGCAGCCACTGTTGGCACAATGCTGCAATAAAATATGTGTCTACAGTGGCTGAAGATAAGGTAAATTTTCATTCCATACTCTTCTTGCATAGATCTATCGTCTATGTCCTGGTTGAGGTTTGTCAGCTCAGCTAAAACTTATGGCCCTCAAGTTGTGTGTATGATCTCCTCAAAACTTTTGGCCACGGTCTTACCCATTTTTGTCATGTTTGGTAGTTAGGATTGGTTGGCACTGGACGCTATCAAGGAAGGAAAATTGGCTAAAATCTTGTTCATTATGTTGTTGAGTCCTTTCCAATATTGTGTACCAACATACACATATATCTTTTAGCTTCTATGAACTGAGAAGTTCTCTGTTTTGTGTGTCTTGGCTGGCATATTTCATAATGAAACAGTTGGAAATTTTGAAATTACCGGTGTATTCCTGAAACACACCTTTTTTTCAGACAGATGTTGAAAAATTACAAAGTTGTACTCATGATGATTCATGTGACTGCAAAACCCTTTCTTCCCTTCAAGGGCTTCCATGGTCAAATAGGTTCTGTCGTGCTTTCAAGCAACTCAGTATTGCACGGAGTCCTAAGGTATGAACATTTCCGTGGCCTCATCTCTATTGAAGGCTTGGCACATGGTTATTGAAATTTTATTTTATGCAGTATAAAGACAGGGATAAAGATATTATTAATTAGGTTCACGGGGGAGCATGTCATGGTTGGGGAACACTGGACTTGTAAAATTTGAACTTGGCGTCCGATGCTCAGATATACATTTATGTTAATACAGTTAAAAATTTGAATGCTCCGGCAATAACTACTACTGGAAAACTAATGATTAAAGGGATTTTCCCATTTATTTGCCCTCAAACACACTTCATATTATTCTCTTTAATTGCCAGGATGGTGCATTAGGAAGCACATTTGTTGATATCAGTTTTGGATATAATGTGATACAGATGTGGTGATATTTCAATCTCAAAGTTTTCAAAACAAAATACATTATAGGTATGTGAATAAGTAATAATAAATGAATAAATACTATATGTATACATATAGAAAATGTTAGAATAAGTATTCGAGTCCATAAGAAATTTTATGAGAAAGTATGAAGAATGTGTAATTCTTATTCACTTTTCTGATGATAAAGAATGTACAATTTATAGGAGAATGGAAAGAATAAATCACTTCCTAAAATCAAGAAAAAGTTTAATTTCCTAAAATACTCTGCTAGCTAAATGCCTAAGAATGGGAATTGATAAAAATAACATCCCTTAATTTGGAAACTAATTTGCTGCTACAGGATTTCCTAGAAATATGGACAAAAAATAAGGAATTCCACAGAATAAAGTACAAGAATTTCAACGTGGGTATTATTCTTTCAATAGTACTTAGTGACTATTTATTTAGCAGCAAATTGCATATACAGAAGCATTTAGGACGCATACTATAGTGTTTTTTTTTTTTTTTTTTTTTTTTTTGTATAAGTAATCATATAATTTTATTAATCAATAGGATAATACATGGGAGGTGTATTATTAAAATAAACAAAAAAGAAACGACATGAAGTTAGGCAATCTTTCTGTACGATTAGTGGCCGCAGCATTAAATCAAGTATACAAAATCATATAAAACAATTCTCTGATTTGTTCTGTTGTTCTTGTTTGGTCTTCAAAACAGCGTCTGTTCCTTTCTCTTCACATGCACCATACAATGCATCCTAGTATAAGACTCCACACAAGTCTACTATCCTTTTCTCGAAATCTTTTCCTCCTTGCCCGCAATACATCTTCTATGCGCTTAGGCAATGCCAAATCCAAATGTTGGGAAGCTAGAATACTATTCTACAGCCACCAAACACCATCACAATGGATAAACAAATGGTCAATCGTTTCCCCATCTCTCTTACACATATAACACCACTTGATAACACAAAAGCCTTTTCTTCGAAGATTATCCACCGTTAACGTCTGTCCCCTCACAACCGTCCATAATAAGGAAGCCACCCGTGGGGACAATTTACATTGTCACACCATCTTCCAGGGAAATGAACTCTCCACTAGACCGAACATGGATCTAAAATAAGTGCGAACTGAAAAAACACCATCCCGTGCCAACCTCCACCTGCTATATTTGCGCTTCGTGCAAGAAAGTCAAGAACAGTGCATAATCATCAGTTCTCAATCCTGTAATCCCCTTTCAAAAGCAATATTCCAGCTATAACTTCCATTATATACGACTATTACATCACTCATCATAGCGGACGGTTCCAAAACAATGTGGTACAAAGAAGGAAACCATGCCTTTAGTGGACGATCTCCACACCAGCAATCATCCCAAAATTTGATACTATTGCCATTCCCCACCACATAAGTCAATTTATCTCGAAAATCATTCCATCCTCGTCGGATATATTTCTACAAACTCATCCCATAAGATCCACGACCCTCGATCGAGCACCAACCCCCTTCCATCATACCATACTTCGCTCCTATAATTTCTCTCCAAAAATCTCTACTCTAAATCACCACAACCATTTGCCCAATAAAGCCTTGTTAAACAGAACAAGACTCCTTAATTCAAGGCCCCCCATCCTTACAGGAGAATAAATCACACCCTAATTAATCAGATGAAATTTCCTCTCTTCCCCTAATTCCGTCCAAAGAAACTCCCTTTGAATTCTCTCTAATCAATTCGCCATTGTAACAAGAATGGGAAGCAGTGATAAGAAATAAGTTAGGAAATTAGAGAGAATGGATTTAGGTTCATTTGGATGTATAGAAATTAATTTTTAATCATCTTGGGTATTTAGCATGTTTGAGAGAGAGTTATTGAAAAAATACAACCTCGGGAATGCTTCAAAAAATTTTGAAAGTCCAAAAAAGTTATTATTTGTGAAATTTCTTACATTAAATATTTTTATGAAGATGTAATAGTTAAGAAGCACCTATGCTTGTAAACTTGTTATGTACCCGTATCTGATACGTATCCAAGCTCCAATGCTCTCGGATAACCTTTGATACACATTGGATATTTTTTTAAATTATTTTATATATTTTATATTTTTAAAATTTTCAATACATTAACGTATATTTATATGATTTTCGATACATATCCGATAGTTCACGGTTTACATGCACCTGTATTACAAAACATTGCTTTGAAACTTCTTGTACAACCTTCTTCTTCATCTAGTGCTTAAAAAATTGGAGTACGTACTCTTTTGTGCCCTCTGTGAGAAGAAATAAAATAACGCTACAATGATGTGATGAATTACTTTTCATTCATAGTAATTTGCATCTTTTATCAAGAAAGTTACATCTCTATTCAAAAAGAGAATTCAAAATGTGGAATATCTCATTTGATACTCTACTTGAGGTTGCTGATTAGATGATATTAATATTGCTGCACATTTCTAGAAACTTTCATATTCTAGAAACCATACAACCTATAAGTCTCTAGATTTGCTCAAGAAGCAAGTAAAACAAATAATAAAATAGTGAAAAATCATAATTCTCTAAAGGTGATGCACCGACTTTTAATAGCTGTAAGTAGGCAGTGGGTCTTCAAATTGTATGCAAGCCAAAAACTAAAGCAGTATCAATCTGACCTTCGTCTCTCATGCCCACTTTGTCCTCTAAGTTGTTTTATATCAAAAAATCAAAATCAAAATCATCCAATCCACTAATTATGGCAGACGCTTTCTGCTCCTCAATTCCTATCCCAATATTTAATGGAGACAACTATGATTTTTGTTCCATCAAAATAAAAACTTACTTTTGTGCGAATAATTTATGGGATGTCGGTGACGAGTATACTGAATCAATGACATTTCCACTCTAACTGTTGTACAAAAGAATGAACTTAAAGAGAATCAACAAAAAGATTCTCTAGCTCTACGAATGAGTTGGCTAAAATGGCAAAAAAAGCTTGGGATAAATTGAAAGAGGAGTTCTACGACGGTGACAAGGTATGTACTTACCATCTTCAAACTCTAAGAAGGAATTTTAAAAATCTAAAAATGTAAGATTCTGACATCGCGAAAGATTATTATTCAAGAATAGATGAAATAGTAAATTAACTAAGATCTTATGGAGACGATGTTCTTGAAAAGAAAGATGTTGGAAAAATTTTAATTACTTGTACAGAAAAATATGATCTAATTATTGCAGCTATTGAGGAGTCTAAAGATATAGATAAATTAACAGCTGCAGAATTAATAAATTCACTAGAAGCTCATGAAAAAGATTAGAAAGATGTTATGAAATTGACACGGAAAATGATTTTCAATCAAAGTTATTATGTGTGATTTCAGAAATCTAAGGTGAAAGAAAATTCAAAGATAATTCTAAAAACAAAGAAATTCAAGAAAAAGAAATTGATAAAAGCGGCAAGTATCCTCCACGTGGTATTTGTAAAAGAAAAAGTCATTTGGAGAAGGATTGCTAGTTTAAAGGAAAACCAGAGTACTGTAGCTATAAAAAATTTGGTCACCTTGTAAATTTTTTTTTGCTTTAAACAAAATCATCAAGATAATTTGTCTGAAGAAAAAGAAACCGAAGGACGACTGTTATATGCCTCCAGTAAGGATGCATCTGAAGACAAATTGGATTTGTGATATCTAGATAGCGGCTGTAGTAACCACATGACAAAAGATGAAAGTATTTTCTGCAGTCTTGATAAAATTAAGGCAAAAATCAAAATTGGAAATGGAAATTTCATAGAGGCAATAGGCAAAGACACTATTACCGTTGATACAAAAAAGGGCAAGAGAGATGTCAATGAAGTTCTATTGGTCCCTACAATAGATCAAAACCTACTACTTGTGGGTCAAATGATGGAGAAATGATACAGTTTACATTTTGAAAGAGATTATTGTACAATCTATGATAAGAAAGATAAATTTCTAGTAATTGAAAAAATCAAAAAGCAGGAGAAGAGAAACTTTCCAATCCAATGGAGATACGTAAACAATACAGCAATGATGGTGTAAGTGGACGAGTCATGGCTATGGCACAGAAGATTTGGACACTTCCACTTCCACGGGTTGAAGATCCTTCAACAAAAGAGCATGATGAAAGATCTATTTGTCATAAAGAAGATTAATGAAGTTTGCGAAGGATGTTAGCTTGGGAAACATCGTCGACCATTTTCATCCGAAAAATCTTAGAAAGCGAAAAAGCTATTGGAGCTGATACATACTGATATATGAGTTATGATGTGTACTCTATCACATGTGCAAAATAAGTATTTCATTCTCTGCATAGGTGATTACACTAGAATGACATAGGCATACTTTTTGCGTGAAAAATCCCAAATTTTTTAGATCAAAATGTTCAAAAGCTATGTTGAAAAGTAAGGTGGTCACAATATCAAGGCAATCAGAAGTGACGGAGGTAAAGAATACACATTAAGAATTCAACAAGTTTTGTGAAGATGAAGGAATGAAGCATTAGCTCACCGTTGGATACGCACCAGAACAAAATGGCATGTCAAAGAGAAAGAACAGAATTGTAATGGAGACAGTTAGAGGTATGGTAATGGAGAAAGGTCTTCCAAAAACCTTTTGGGCAGACGCAGTAAGCACCATA